CTTAGATGTGACAGCTCCTTCGGTGGCTCACTCTGTGCTCTCTGCTGGATCTGAAGTGCTGCACTAGCATGTTATTATGACCCAAGGTTGGTGCTGCTCCGCGGGGCTTTTATACATGTCCCATACATGATGTGTTATCCGAGTGTACTGACTGAAAGGGAACGTAATGTTATGCATATAACTACTGTTCCCTGAAGGAAAGGAACAAGGTACAACACATGGTGGCCCCGCTGCACAGCTGGGCTCGGTGAAGAGCAGTTACTGAACTGAGGAGTGACGGTGATGCGACAATATTTATATGTGCAGGCGGAGCCTGACATCTGTCGTCACCACGTCACCTGCCTAAAGGCGTGATTAGAGGTGGCTTCAGCCAGGACACGCAGGGGCGTGGGTTCCCATGCATGATGTTGTACCTCGTTCCTTTCCTTCAGGGAACAGTAGTTATATGCATAACATTACGATTTCTTGCCAAATAGTGAGCCAAATTTGCTCATATTACATCTAAAGCTGCTACATTAAACATTTCAGACTAGGTTTCTACCATGTAAGCACACTGATGTAAACGTATTTTACATATAATATTGTACTGTTACTGAATTATCCAAATGCACAATTATCAAAAAGAGCCTTATTGTAAAGTGTAAGACAGTACACTATTTAATAATGACTTATAAGAGAGCCTTATAAACAGTGTACTGTTTTACACTTTACAATAAGTCTCCCTTTGATAATTGTGAATATGTACAGTATAATGCAGTATTACAGCACAAAATTATATGTAAAATATGTGTTTCCAATACATTATTGTGCTTACAAGGTAGTAACCTAGTTTGAAATGTTGACTATAATACTTTAGATGTAATATGTACATGAATAGATTTGGCTCATTATTTGGCAAGAAACCAGACTAATGCATAATAAACACTTCTGAATGATTTATAAGTGTTTACAGATGAATTAATAAGTATTTATAAGCCATCTATAAGGGGAGCCTCATTGTAAAGTACTACCAGTTTATTTTTAATTTACAAAAATGAAGCAAACTGCCTTCAAATGAAAGTCTGAACAGTCCTATTTACATACTAGTTACAGTAGTAAGTACTGTAATAAAAAGTAAGTAATGAGTTTTAGATGACAGGTTGTTGTGTGTTCTGTAGAAAGAAGCACACCTCCTCTGAGAGGCAGCAGGATGAAGTCAACAAGGAGCTGCTCAAAGAGAAGAAGGTAACTGAAGATGTGGCTTCTCTTCTGGAGCGAGTGGCAGAGCAGGTCTCAGAACAGATTCGGTAAGAAATTAACACCAACAACCGTTTGGATTTGTGTCCAGATATTCGTCATGTCAAATATCGTACCGCTGTTAACCAAAGTAAGACAAATTTATGAATTTATCTTCCAGACTGAATCGATCAACTAAGTACCATTTAGAACGAGATCTGAAGGAGATATTTGAGGCTCAGAACATCGACAACCCCTGCGCTTTAATGACTGTTCATTCCAACCTAACCCAGGAGAAGCCTAAAGACAATTGCACTGAACCGCCCAGGTGAACCATCGTCTTCATGTCTACTTACACTCACACAAAACATTGTTTTTATATACTTTCTAGCAGCCTATATTTAGTATTATTTATGTTTTTGCACGTGTCTGAGTGTTCGCTCCTCTGTTAGGTAAGGAATTGACTAACCAGTGAACAGACTTTAATAAAGCTTTCAGAAACTAATCACTACTGAAGATGATCAGCTTTTAGAGTCATCCACATTCAAAATAGCACACAAAAAATGGCTTTTACAGATATTAAGCTAAAATTTGTTGAGAGTGGTCTCTAACAAATACTCTGACACAACTTGTCATATCTGTTCTTAAAAGTTTTAAATTAAGTATTAACTTCTAATAATTAATGGTGTCATCTTTAGTCATGTCTCATGAACCAAAGAAGAGATTTTAATTAAACTTGGAGACAGTAATCATGATATGTATAACTATAACTAAATACTCATTTGAAAATGTCCCAAGTCAAGATGGTTACCTCAGCCAACTGACAATATAACATTATTTTACAGATGTTAAGCTGAGATTTGTTGAGGTAGTAGCTGAGCCTTGTCCCAACACAGAATCTGAGTGGTACACATTATGTGATATTGTTGCATTAACTGTGTGCATCAACGCTGTCGGTCTGTTAACAGAGTATCTCATGAACCAAATTGTTTATCAAATAAAGTCTAATGTTACAACTTATGTGCTGGGATCCCTTAAACATTCCAGACCAGTGTCTAAAAGTTGCACAGGAACAAGTTTTGCCTACAGATCCATCATGTTGCATACCRCGAGGTGTCAGGCCAAAACAAACACTCCCATGTTGGCTGATAGTTTTGATGTGACAGAGAGCAACTAAAATAAACTAAAATAAAACGTGAGTATAACAGGAGAAGCCAAGCAATGAACAATTCTTCCTGTATTTTAATTGTCTCCCAGCGTCACAGTAACTCCAAAGCAGTGGGAGAACATCTCAGACCTCAACATAGCCAAGGCGGTGCAGCAGAAGACCAACTCCATGTCCCTGCGGACCTTGGTAGAGTCTGTTCTGCAGCAGACAGCTGCTGACGTGCAGAAGCAGTTTCAGGCTACAACGGTAGCCTTTCAGCTCTACATTCACCAGGTCAAGTTCTCCAAGGACCAGATGGAGGAGAAACTGTCCAAGGTGAGGCACACTCTGCAGTTTATGATTGGCAGAGAGGGAGAGGGCTGTGAGGAGACACTAAATCAGGAGATAGATGTCAAAGGCAACACTGATTGAACTTCCTGAGGATACATAGTGTGCAGGACATGGAGCTATAAGAGTCTCAATAATTACAAATGCACACAGGAAGATTCACACATGCACATGTCATTTCACACATGCAGAGAACATTTCACACGTGCACAGGTGAGTTGCAAAAACCAATACCTCAACATTTCAATCCGAGTTCAACATCTGAACTCCCATTCACTTTTTATACCAGTATACAATGAGTTCCTGTGTGTCAGATTYAAATAAGGACAAATAATTTGTTGACCCTGATTTATTGTGTCTAGATTTTGTCGGAGATCACCGCCCAGCAATTAATCAGACAGGATCTTCAAGCATCCATCACAGAAAATGAGCATTTCCTGAGTTTGGCCCAGGCCCGATGGTCTCAGCGCCATCAGAGTCCTGGTAAAAAGCAGTTCCAAGATCCAGCACAGGTTCAGCTTCGCACTGAGATCCAGCAGCTCACTGCTCATATCAAGAAGTAAGGCCAACTCTCCCTCACCGTTCATAGAAAAGAACTGTGTTTTCTGTTGTTCAGGCTGCCAGTTTACAGAGAAGGGGGTCTCTGCAGTCTCTAAGTAGGAGTTTGTTATTTTGTGGGAGGAGTTGGCCCAAGACATGATTGGTCTGTTGGACCTTTGTGGAGGGAGTTTACCAAAGACATGAGTGGTCAGATTGACGGTGGGGTTTGAAGAAGCTGGGGGCAGCTTGGAGTAGTTTGGTCTTATTGATCAGAAAGCACCTATATTTATTTAAATATTGAGATGAATTTTAGTCATAACTTGTGATAGGAATGAGCTAGCTGCACAAAAATTTTAAGTCAATAAATTATGTTTACAWGTTCACAATAATTTTTGAGTCATTTTTCTGTTTTAAACTGTACATAATAGACAGTCAATAAATCATATTATTTCACTATCTTTTTTTTTCAAAACATTATAGCAAAAAAGAACTATTATTGAACTATTACCATTACTTCCTCTTTTAAGTTTTCCCATGAGACGAGTCAGTCCAACCAATCACAATTAGGGCAAACTGCCTATAGAACATGTACTGCAGAGACCCCTACTTGAATTTATACAGCCACTTTGCACAATATATAGTACTTGAGATGTGTGTGGTGAATGACTCTTGGCAACTACCATTTAAAATTTAGCACAAACCTGAAAAATTGCCCAGGATTTAAGGTCAGCTGGCTGCGGGGGGAATTTTGTATTTGTTAAGCTCCAAAGGTTAATTATTTATAGGGGTATCAGGGATCATTTCTTGAAAGTTGCATGAAATCCATTCAGTGGATACAGTTCATAATTTACTACATATTTTACATTCTTTTACTGAATGCTTCCAGTGTTTTTGTTTATAAAACTTGCCATTTAAAGTCCATCATCAGACAGCCATTATTTATCTCTGTGCTCTCAGACTGCGTGAGGAGATGGCCCAGTCCGAAAAGCAGGAGATAGTGCTGTTCAGCAGCCAACAGAAACTGCAGGAGAGCATCGACATCAAAGCAAACTCACTRTATACTGATGAGGTCCTCTGCAAGCAGCACCGAGAGTCCATCATCATATTCAACTTCTGAGCAGTCAGCAAAAGGGAAAGGTTTATGGGACGTGCTGTTCCAATTAATTATAAAATTTCACTTTCAAATATCTGCCAACTTGTTTCTTTTTTCTTAAAAGCCTTAAAACATTTAAAATACTGTAGTTTAATTCAATAAATGAGACAAAGCAGATACTTTGCTATTGTTTTTTTTTTTTTTTTGCTGTTGAAAAAACCCAATTGAGTAACTGTCCCATCCATCCATTTTCTTCCTCTTATCTGGGGTAGTGACTGAAAGAACAAGATTGAGATACAAGCGGCTGAAATGAGTTTCATTCGCTTGGTGTGTGGGTTCTCCCTTAGAGATAAGAAGCTCTGTCATCAAGGAGGGACTCAGAGAAGAGCCACTGCTCCTCCACGTTGAGAGGAGCCAGTTGAAGTGGTTCATCTGGTTAGGATGCCTCCTGGACGCCTCCCTGGTGAGGTGTTCCGAGCACATCCCACTGGGAGGAGGCCCAGAGGAAGACCCAGGACACACTGGAGGGACTATGTTTCTCAGCTGGCCTGGGAACACCTTGGGATTCACCCAGACGAGCTGGGAAGAGGGAAGCTGGGTCTCTCTGCTAGCCCCTCCAATGCTAACRCCAGCTGCTTAGGCTCAAAGGCCATTATCCTGCTTGGTCCTGTGACCCAAGCCAAAGCTCGTGACCATATATGAGGGTAGGAACCAGTGGCGGATGCTGGTTTTCAAGGAGGGGAAGCTCAATTTTGGCCTACATCATAAAATGTGTCAGTTTAAACAATTAAAACTGCTCCCACGGATGTTTACGCCAAAAGATCACTGATTCGTTCATTTCGCTGTCAATCAAAAAGGGATTCAGCCTCAGACAGATTATCCAATCATCATGCAGAAGCTGAGCATCTGAGCCAGCCGAGGCCAGCCCACTGCCCCAGACCCCCAGAGACGCTGAGCATCTGATGGGCAGGACAAAGCCCAGCATTTATCCAATGRCTCGTCTTGTTTCGCTGCACTCTTTGCTTCGCTCTTGAACTACTCTGTTTAAAGCACTGTGAAGCTGTGGGACTGAGTGAGAGGAAAGTTGCGTCGTTACCAGTGATAAGAAGCTGATTCTGAAAAAAATGTTGAGCGAGTTGTAGCACATATTTAGTCAATGACATGTACACACAACAGTATATATTTGATCACTTATTTTTTGGACATTTTAAGRGAAGCTGAGCTTCCCTTGCAGTCTTAGAGCAATCGCCTCTGGTAGGAACATAGACCGACCTGTACCGACTGACAGATCAGTACAGCGCCCGCATCACTGCAGATGCAGCACCAATCCACCTATTGATCTCCCGCTCCATTCTTCCCTCATTCGTGAACAAGACCCCAAGATATTTAAACTCCTCTATTTGGGGCAGGACCTCCTCCCCGAGCCGGAGAAGGCACCCTACCATTTTCCAGCTCTAGACCATGGTCTCTGATTTGGAGGCACTGATCCTCATCTCGGCCACTTCACTCTCGGCTGTGAACCGCTCCAATGAGAGCTGGAGATCACGATCTGATGAAGCCAATAAGACCACATCATCCACAAAAAGCAGAGATCCTGAGATCACCAAAACACCTTGGCTGCACCTAGAAATTCTGTCTGTAAAGGTTATGAACAGAAATGGTGACAAAGAGAAACCTTGGCAAAGTCCAACTCTCACTGGAAATGAGTCCAGCTCACTGTTGGTAATGTGGAATAAACTGACAACGGGGCTAGTACCCTATACTCCCAGAGTACCCCCCACAGGAGTCCCTGAGGGACACGATCGAAGGCCTTCTCCAAGTCCACAAAACACTAACTGTCCCATCAAATAATTAGCAGAAAATGCAGTAAACATGGAATGAGGTTGTCGACATCGACTCTGATACAAGTCTTAAAACTCAAGGCTGCATTTTCCTAACCGAACATCTCTAAGGTGTCTACAACTTCTGAGTTAGGTCACTAGGTTTGTTAGCCCATATCTGCCAACTTCTACTGAGACAACTGACAAAACAACTATCAAGTTTAAATTAAGATTTTTATAAACATTACTTTTCATAAAATTACATGGTGGCATTGTAGCTGTTTAGGTCAAACCTTGTATACGATCCAGAAAGTTGGAAAAAATGCTCAGCTACCACCACACTGAATTTTATTTTTAGCTCCGTATGTAATCTGACTAGGTTATAGATACTGTTGTATTTGTGGCATACATGTTGAGTTGGTTGTAGACATACATTCAATGATTCATTTCTGAGAGTTTAATTCAATTCTGTCCAGTGGTTGATTAAATATTTTGCTCAGACATACAAATAAGCACAAGCACACACGAGGAATAATCCATCATTTCACCCAAATCGAACATTTCTTTAATCATTCCTAAATTCAGACATTGTTTATTTCTAAACAAGACACATGAAAATACAAACCTAAACTAACCAGTAAAAACAAAGTATTCATGTTTCTTGTAAACAATAAAAAGGCTGCTTGTTACAAAAAAAAAAAAAAAAAACAGTGTTGAATACACCCACATGACTTTTATATTGCTTCAGGAAATATAAACTTCAAAAATAAAACTTTTTACAATTTGTGTTATCGAAAGAGACTTTGGTGTGGGCAGTTCCTTTTAAAAATTAACAAATAAAAACTGCTGCAGATTCAAATATGTTTCTTTAATGCTGTGAGTTTACAAAGTCACACTTATTAAATTTACTAGGAAACTAAATACTATATTCTGAACTATTTCTGAAACAGGTAAGCATTAAGTCGTGCATTTTTTTAAAATGATAAAGTGCAGCAAAATGAGACAAAGCTCTCTGAGGCTCTTCGTTAGGAGTTCTCTCTCTTCATGCCTCTCTGTATTTCAGAAAAATGTGGGTTCGGCACTTCACCTAAACAACAGAGAGGATGCAAAACTCTTATCAACAATGTTTATTCAGACTGTGCGTTTGATTCAGGAACATTTACCTCATGCCAGGTTAGTGTCTGGAGGGGCAGGGCCAGGTGACAGTGTGGGCAGGTACTGATCTGCTCTGGGTTTCCTCCATCACTCCCAGGACCACGGCTGGCCGAGTGAATGAGGGATGTTGCTCGGTAGGCGCTGCTCAGCTGAGGACTGCTTCTCTGTGTAAAGTCCTCAGACTCCTCCTCTTCTTCCTCTCGCTCATCTTCCTCATTTACAAACCTCTTTGCTGGAAAACACTCCTCCTAATGTGAGAAGGAGGAAAACAGATGTGTTTTGTGTGTTTTTGTGTCACAGAACAACCTGTGATAACCTCAAAGGTCATTATCCTGCAAGATTTATTTGTTTTCCTATTTCAACACCTGATTCAGGGATTGAATTACCTCTTTAATATGGCACGGTATGAGGGTCAAAATTAAGACAACTGTGCAACCAACGGTTGACACATTCTTGTAGCAGGAGGCTATATCTATTCCTAAGACAGCTATTGATCTGATTAATGATAGGCCGACACCACTAACTGAGCAGCTGGCACCAATAACTGAGGCCTGTGCTGGCAAATGAGGAGACTACTCATCCATCCATGCTAATGCCAGCTAATCCATGCTAGTTGCTAGCCTCTCCAATGCTAATGCTAGCTAATCCATGCTAGTTGCTAGCCTCTCCAATGCTAATGCCAGCTTAGCCATGCTAGTTTCTAACCTCTCCAATGCTAACACCAGCTTATCCATGCTAATTGTTAGCATCTTCAATGCTAATGCAAATCAATAGTCTCCTTCTCATTTGCCAGCGTCGGACTCTCAGCTGCTCAGTTAGCGGTGCGGGCCTATCATTAATCAGATCAAAAGCTGGCTAAGGAATAGATACAAGGATGCAGCAACCACTGGTTGCACAGTAGTCTTCATTTTGGCCCTTGAACCACGCCATACTTCAAGTTCTGCAGAGACCTGTTAATCACCCACAGGTTCAAATCAGGTGTGTTGGAACAGAGAAACCTCTAAAACAGGGCTATTCAACATCCGGCCTATGAGTGCCCAAAGTCTGGCCCGCCAATTGGTTCATTCATCTCTTCAGCCCAAACCCCTGGTTTTCTACTTTAATTTCTATAAGTTATTTTAGTTAAACATAGACATGTTTGGTATCTACAGAAACATCTGAATCTTGGCTACAAGCTGGTAAAAACAAAACTGAATTGGTTTAAAAATCTGGCAAGTCAGAGATGTCAAAAATAATATTTGTTTCAAATAGGAGGCATAATGTTTTCTTTTTGTTTTTGATATTGTTTAATTATCTCTACTTTTATAGGGTTCTGTATGTTGTAATCATGATTAAATGCAGCAAAATTTACATTATTAATTAAAAAGTTTGTATATGATCACTTTTTACAATAATTTCAACAGACTCCTAATGAAAAGTGTTTCTAAATGTGATTTTGTTTTTACATTAAATTAATTTTCATATTTGTCCTCAAATAAACTCATCTTTTAGTCGTTTTAGATTTTGCTAACTTTATGTGACTTGTTTGTAAATCATCACTTCTTGTTAAAAATCAAATTAAAGCATTTCTTAAAGAAACAGCACATAATACTTGTTGCTCTTCCTGTTGAGAAATGACAGTTGTGTTTTGATCAATTCTCAAAAAATAACTTTATAGATAAACTTGTGATATTGCTAGATAGTTTCCTTTACTTTCAGCAACAACCACATCAAATTTTAACTTAATATCTGTAAAACATCAACATTTTAGCCATGTATGTTTTTGTAAGGTCTGGTAGCTGACAGTCATCCTGAACTGAGTTATTTAGCTGTTAATGTGCATCCAATAACTGTTTTTAAAAGCTTCATTAAATTATGTCCAGTGGTTCCTAAGATATTCTGCAAACATACAGATACACACTGCCTACCTTTCAACAGCAGGTGATAAATACAAGGTACACGCAAGTCACTATTTTTATGGCAACAAACTTTTTTTCTCCTTTGTTTCCAATGCAGAAAGACAAATATTAATATTCATGCTCCTTTTTATTTCTTTTTTTTTTTATATTTATTCTTTTAAGCAGCAAAAATGATTCTGATAAGCAGTTATGGAAATCTTATAAATGAAAATCACATTGTATTTATTATAAAAAGTACATCTCTCAACTAAGGATCACCTCAGTTTCTTTGCTTTTGAAAGTCAACAATAAATTCTTTCATTTTCACAGATTTTATTTTATTTTTTTAAGTTTGTTTGTGTGTGCATGTTTAGCTTGGTAAAACTTTATGAGAAAATTTCTGACAAATATTCAAAAGTACCTGGTGTTTGACAAAGTCCTCAGCTGGAAACGAGCCCAAACATGTGCTGCAGCTCACTGGTGGCTCTGCAGAGAAAAGCACACGAAGGGTTAAACAGTGGAGACGGATGGTGGCGGTACGCTGAGCTTCGTGAGGACCCTGCCAGTGTTGTACTTGTGTCGTGTCCGGCGCCAGCAGCTTGAGGAGGACCCTGGCTGTCGTCGGGGGCTGAACGGGTGCAGCTGTGATCCGGCTGGTCTCTCAGCTGGACGTAGCGGCCGCAGTCCCTGCAGAGCTCGGTGCGGCTCCCGCAGACCAGGCTGTGCTCTTGGAGCTCCTTCCACGGCACCTCCAGCTCACAGAACGGACACTTGTGCAGTCGCTCCACACACTCCTCAGACTGGGCCGTAGAGCAGAGAGGAGACAGAGCAGCAGACAGCATGTGTCACAGTCAAACAGATTTAATAACCTGCAGTGTTTAACTCACTGTATGGAATTCATTAAGACCTGCTAATGTTGCTTTCTCTTTCTGTCACTGGTTTTATTTTCTAACCATTTTGTCATTCAGAGAAAGAAGTTAATTTAACACAATCTAAACATGTCTTGAAGATAATACTTCAAGAACACCTAAAGAGATCCAGGACTAGATGTAACATTAGACTTTATTTGATAAATATATATTTTAACTGTAAAATAAAGACTGCAAAAATACTGTAGGATGTTTAGTTTTTATAATTTTTAAAATATATTACACGGACTGAACAATTTTATTTACACACAAATCATTCTGGGTAAATGATGACGTGGATAGGTCCTCGGTGGTGAGGCTGCTAGCGAGCTATATCCACCCTGAAGGTTAATCTTGGACAATATCTGATGATCGACTCTTTTAAATGAAACCAGAGAGCGTTGACAG